CGTTCTTGGCTTTCCCCGCGTGATTCTGCCAGAATGTAAATGTGGCTTTTTTTTTTTTTTTTTTTTCATTTGTTGTGGGAAAGACAGAGCAAAGAGAGGTGATTTATTCTGAAGGTATAACAGCTGCTGCAGGCATTCATTCTGATCCTCTTGAAAAGATGTTCTGTAGTAATGAATCAGTTGTTTCTGACTCCCCACTTCCAGTAGATCAGTCATTTCAGAATTTAAATCATAGGGTAAGACATGACATTCTTACCTCTTTTTTCCCTAACGTACTTTTATATGTGCTTATTTAAAGGAGGGCTTGCTGGATTGTGTTGAAAACCGTGTTCATCAGCTAGAAGATCTGGAAGCAGCATTTGCAGATTTGTGTGACAATGATGATGAAGACACCCTACAGAAGTGGGCTTCATATCCTGGGTAGGAGATTTCTAAATGGCTTAAAATGCAAACAGTAGTTTGGGAACTGATTAACCCAGCACTTTACTAACAGAAAAGGAGAGAGGCTAGATAGGATCTATGCAAGGCTACCATTTTTCCTTTAGTTCTAGAGGAGAGTGAGTCAGACAAAACAAAAGAAAAGAGGGTCTGCTGTTTTCAGTGCCATGGTAAGCCTTCCAAGATCAGCCTTGTACAGCTTCATGCAAATTCTGTTGTCTGTGGAGGGAGGCACGTTTGGTGCCTAAAAATTTAGTGATCTGTGTGAAGCAGAGTTCTCAAAAAAGGAACAAACTGCGGAGGATATGGAGGAGGACTTCTTTGGTGCTCCCAAAGGTTCTTCTTTCTTGTGGAAAAATGGAAGTGAATGAAAGGCTGTACCTGAGCAACAGTGTCCACAAAACATCTCAGCATCATCTGCTATGCTTTTAAACCAAATGTTTTCAGCTGAAAAGAAACAGCGACAGTCTGAGCTTTCCCTTGATAGGAAAATCACTCATTTTCCCCATCAAACGCAGCAGTTACTGCCAGACCTGTGTAACAGTGACCACAAGCATTTCCTATCTAGTTCATACAACTTCGAGCTACAACAGCTTCTCTCCAGGTCTGCCCTAAAAGAAGTGCAAAGAGGTCTTGCCAGAGGCAGGTATGAGTATAGGGGCTTTCTAAGAAAGACCTGGTGAAACAGTACAATAGTACTGATAATTTCCATTTTTATTAGATGCAAAATGACACAGAGGGGCAAATTTCATTTTCAAATCCTAGGCCATGATAACTTCTACTTTCTTCTTTTTTTCCTCTCTCTTTTTTAACCACTTAAGGTAAATATATGTGTTTCCAGCTGTTTATGTAACAAGTTTTGGTTTTGTTTTAACTCCAGAATGAAGTCACTTGTTCAACTAGTTCATAGTTTGAAAACCAGGATGGAAAGCCCAGACTACGAAATGGTAGGTGACTAGGTAAAAGACCGGAAAATAGACAGATTTCAAAAGCATAGCTTCAACAGGGAGGCAAAAGATCATGCTTCATTTCAGATGTGCTTCTTGATTTAGGACTTTGAGAGATTTTGGTAGTTTTCCTTTTTTTATATATCTTTTTACTTAGGCCAGCTTTTCTTCTTAAAGCTTCTAAAAGTCTACTCTGCTTGTCTATATTTAGGCAACATAAATGTGATCTTTCAGGACTGTGACGTCTCAGGCTGCTTCCTGTGAAGGAAGGTTTCATTTCACCAGCGTCTGTTAATATACTTTATAGAACTTAAGGTACCTATCCTCTTCAAGGGCTGCAGCATACTCTGAACTCATAGGGGAGATACAGTGTACTGGAGATACTGAAACAATCCATACAACCTCCAGAATTTTATTCAACAAATTGGGGAAAAAAAGCCCAACTGTTACTGCCTGAAGAGGTATAAGTTACCTACTGGGCTAGGGATGGTATCTTAGAGGCTTTTTACAAAGATAAGCTATATCAATAATTCATCAACAGAAATTATATCTGTTTAATTTGCATGTAGGTCCATCAGGCTGGTCTGACCTGTGATTATATGGAGCTTCCTCACCATGTTAGCACTGAAGAGGAGATAGAAGGTCTCATACAATCCATTAAAATTCTACTAAAAGATATGCCTAAGCCCACACTTGTGACAGTTGCTCGGTAAGACTATGTAGATATTTTTACTTTAAAATGCTCAGACTGTGCTTACGAAGCTAAATGATTCTATCAACATAGCACTGGTTGGGACTTCTTAAATTCTGTCTTAAAGTGGAAGCCCTACAGTGTACTGAAAATTGACATTTGAAAATGTTGATCATAAGGCAGTGACAGTATCTACACAGCTGAAGGAAGGTTCTGTGCTGATGGCCAGTTTTACTGGGCTTTAGAGTAGCTAGCACAGATTTCAAAAGCAGTGAAAACATGCTGTCTGAATGAGCTTCAGCACAGGCTATACAAAGCCTGTGATGATGCCCTGTGTGTAGTGAGACTGATAGCTGTCACTAGGGTTCATACATCTCCACTACTTTTATTACTTGTGGTAGTTAGAGCAAAGCTAGCTTGGACAAGCCTGCATGGGCTGAAATCACACCTTCCTTACTCTCTTGTTCTAGGGTTCATTGTACTACAGATAGGATTTCTGTTTTTAGTGAAACTGCTGATGGAAGTGGTTTTCATCTAATAGGCTGAAAGGGATTTATATTCTAGAAAGCTCTAGTAAAGCTTTGTATGGGGTAAAAGTTACGCTTCCAGGACTGTAAGGGTATTATTTGGGAGAACAGGATGGAGTTTGAGGCTAGGGAACTGGGAGAACCAGGGATCTGTCCTGGGAAAACTTAATTTGAAGACCACAGTTTATCTGTTGACAAATTGTTGTAATTTAATCACTTCAAAAATACTAAGTGTGCCCATAAAGGGCAGGCAACAATAGCAGAAGCTGATATGAAATTGTTTTTGTCAACAAGAAATAGTATGGCTAATATCTATAATAAAAGAAAGCTGTATTTCCTGTGCCAGCTGCAGGGTTATCATCCGCTGTTGCAGAGAAAATACAGAATCATTTATGTAGATCTTGACAGATATAAAAATCCAAGAAGCGTCAGCTCTGCTTTTTTACTAGTATCTGTTTACAGTTCATTAATAGATACTGTAAATAATATTATATTCCAGGGATTGTGAAGATTTGTTTTTCAAGTTTTCCTACCTATTTTTTTTTTTACTAGTACCATCTGAATTTTTCAGTCTTAACTTTCCACCAGTCTTTAATTAGATCATTTGCTTGAACTTTGACTGCCAACATGTTCTGTGTCAGAGTCAGCAACAGAGTAGAATTGGAAGGATGAATAGGTCACATTCTGAATCTGCTCCAGACTTTCTGTTCAACTTGAGGCAAACTGTTACCATTGAAAGTAGTGAGGAGAAGCACAGCACTATGCTTTGAAGGGATGCTGGGAGGCAGAACTCACCACAGTTTGAAAGTAGCTTCAGCCTAGACGCAAAGCATTACAAGAATGCAAAATGTGGTGATGGGGGCGATATCTCATCTCTCTCATGCTTTTTTCAATTCCTTGTTACAGATCAAGTTTGGATGATTATTGCCCTTCAGAGCAGGTTGACATCATTCAAGAGAAGGTTCTCAATTTACTAGGTTCAGTGTATGGCACTCTGGATGTGCACTTAGATTACTCAAGCACCTCATCTTCTTTGTGACCTTTCTTCATCTATTGCCTTCTAATGCAGTGGATTAATTTAAATTGTATATTAGCTATGGTTGCAAGGGGAAAAATACTGTTATTTCAGCAGGTGGCACTAGAACCCAAGCTGACCAAGAGCTAGTTTTGAGTTGCATTGCTTTCTCCAAGTCAACTGCATCTGAACTGTTACCTGTTTGGCTTTGTTCAGATTAGTTCTGTGATTATTTTTACTGACTTGCTTCTTAAAATCGGTACAAGAGAAACTATTTTTTGTCCATAAAATGTATTTTTTCACGTGATTTCTTTAAGTGTCTGTAAAAAAAAATTATATATATAACTTCTTAAAATAAATGGATTTCTTTTATGTAATTAAACATTTTTTTGATGGAGTTTGGTGAGTAACAGACATGTTCCTGAGTTGCATTGTATCTTTTAAAAAATCATCTCAATAATGCCATTAAGACATTAGGTTTACATAGTGATTTTTCTTAACTGCTGTGCTCGAGATGATCAGGCATCCCCCTGTCATTTCTCTAGAGCAGCTTATGGCTTCTGCCCCATCCACAGAATATCATTTATATTTATACACAATTGCATTAATATTGTCTTCTTTTGCCTTAGAGTATTTCATTGGTGACTCAGATAATATCCCTAATGTACAGATATTGGCTTGGTATTTTCATTTTTACGTATTTCTAAGGATAAAAAGTATGCATGCATGTGCATGCTTTTTTCTGTTGAATCCTGTAAGGAGTTGAATCGATGTTTTCTTCAGAAACAAAGATTTAACTTCATTAAAGTCATCAGTGACATCTTCTGTACCAGGTTTTCGCTCATTTCAGTTTTGCTATTTGGAAAATAACAGTTTTAGAACGATTTAATTTAGAAAGCAATCTGGTTCTAGAGAAAACTGCCACTTCCAGAGGAACAAAAACCCACAGGATTTATTTGGGAATGAAACTGAAATGGGAAAGAAAAAATACCACCTGGAATATTGTATTTTATTATGAATAAATTTTACTTGTAATTTCTTCTGCAATTGTTAAGTTCATTTGTTAACATTACTATTTGCTCTACAGAGACTTTGTGCGCTTTTACAGTTTTTTACTACTTCTGCTGTTGGTATAAATGACTATATTATAAATTGTAAATATGTAATTATTTTAAAATATTTCTTCAAGTAGAATAAATTCCATGACCATGGACCCATTTTCTTTGTGCTTATGCATTCTGTCACAAAGACACGGCTAGCCTTGGATGCAAGATCCTTAATACATCATAAATTATAAACAGCCATACATTGCGTACAGAAACTAAGTGGAGTCGGATCACGTACAGCTTGTGTAAAATTTTTTGGCTTTTTTAAAGTAAGAGATGCTCTTTGCTGGGCTTTGAATAAGGTTGTGGAAAACAAACAGAAAAAAAGGGTCAAAGGTGCCGGGGTACTTCTGTGCTGTAGAGAATTACGTTACCCACAGAAAGAGAAGTTCGCAGGGTCCGATAGCACAGTTCTGCCTGGCCAACTGATACTCTGCTTCCATGTCCCAAAACAGAGCACCTGCAGCACATCAGCTTGTATCGGGTGCAGGTGCCCAGGTGCTCGCAGCAGCAGTGGGGTCTGAGGGCAGCAGGGTGGGAAACAGCCCTGCGAGCCCCGAGGGGGGAGCGGGAGGAGGGGAGGAGGGGCTCCAGGCGCCCCGGCAGAGATTCCCCTGTGGCCCAGGAGGGACCCCGCTGGGGCAGGTGTTTCCCTGCAGCCCCTGGGAGAGGACCCTACCAGAGGAGGTGGTTATTTCCTGAAGGAACAGCAGCCCATGGAGCAGGGGAGAAGTGTGAGGAGGAAGGAGTAACAGGGAGGAGCTGTTACCTGTCCCATCCCACCACTGTCCTTGAAGCTGTCCTGAGCGTTTCTTGGGGGCTCAGATATCCAGGGGCTGGCCCAGACAACACAGCCCCTCGGAGCCATGGCTGTAACCTGGGTGACTTCTCCCCACCCTCCCTCGGGTCTGTCCTGCCCTAGCTTTTCTCACTGCTGGGATGTACCCAGGCTCTCAAGTCTGCCCAGTCCCAGGGATGCAGCCCTGCCACCGACTCTCTGATGCTCCAGTTGTTTCCAAAGGGAGTAACGGTGGAAAAGGGGAGGTCCTTGGCCGTACAGGACAATGCAGTGGGGCACACAACCCTCGCAGGGTAGCTGGAGGGAAGGAACAGAGGGGAAAAGTTGGTGCTGCTGAGCCGGTTGTCTGACCCATGTTTCTGACTACAAGAGGAAAGATTCCTGTCGGTTCTCTGACGAGTTCTTCATTTATGAATGTGGTGGCTTAGCCCCACCATCTAATCCAGATGATCTAGATTTAGATCTAGATATATAGGTATGTGTCCTGGTTTCAGCTAGGACAGAGTTAATTTTCTTCCTAGTAGCTGGTATAGTGCTGTGTTTTGGATTTAGAATGAGAATAATGTTGATAACACGCTGATGTTTTAGTCCTTGCTAAGTAGTGCTTACACTAGTCGAGGACTTTTCAGCTTCCCATGCTCTGCCAGTGAGGAGGTGCACAAGAAGCTGGGAGGGGGCACGGCCAGGACAGCTGACCCAGACTGGCCCAAGGGCTATGCCATACCATATGACATCATGCTCGGTATATAAACTGGGGGGCAGTGACCACTGCTTGGGAACGGGCTGGGCATGAGTCAGTGGGTAGTGAGCAATTGCATTGTGCATCACTTGTTTTGTATACTCTTTTATCATGATTATTATTGTTTTCCTCTTCCTCTGCTGTCTTATTAAACTGTCTATCTCAACCCACGGGTTTTACTTTTTTTTTTTCCCCCGATTCTCTCCCCCCTCCCACCAGAGCAGAGTGGGGAGGGTGAGCAAGCGGCTGCGTGGTGCTTTGTTGCCGACTGGGGTTAAACCACAACAGTATGGACTTTATTTATAACATGGAATCAAATCAGTTTCTTGGCTCAGAATTCCTGACCTGCAGTCCTGTTCCTTGACTGCTATCCCACAGGGCAGTTCTTGTAGAAATAATACTGTCCCTCAAGAATCTATCTATCTCCTGACAGAAATGCTACAAGACTGCTTAGCCTCTCCCAACGCAGGCTGAGAACGTAAAACTGCATATAGATCAAGGGAGTTCCTATTTACCCAAGCTGTTTGGGTCACTTTCTTTAAAAGTTGGGGGGTGGTGGGGGACAGTTTTAAAGAAATCAGCCCTAATTACATTACCAGATTTGACCAAGAGTGTGGGCCCATTGCTTTTTACAGTGTGTAATTTACTTGTCTCAAGGAAAGATTCTTATGGAAAAAAACACATGCCTTGCAATATCTAGTGTCAAATCAGTCCCCCTCTTCTGGGATCTTTGAACGAAGAGGGATGGCTTGACCTCTATGTGGCACAACACCATGCCACGTTTTCATTGCAGTATTTCAGCAACATTTGATCTGCACTTCAGAACAACCACAAAACCCCACTTCTGTCTTTCTTTTTTCCCTTCCCCAACCCCCCCTTTCAAAATAAAACATCAGTCAAAGCAACTTTTGGCTCGATACACTAAGCAGTTAGCATCATCACAGATCAGCACCCAGAGAAAACAGGGGTCTGAAATCCTTCCACACTGATAAAAAACTGCCAGCCGCTTCCGTGAACCTGGCCTGCTAGCATCCACCCGGGCAATGCCCTCACAACCACAAAGACAGTGAGACTGCTGCCCTTTCATAGGGAAATATCTCATGGTCCACATTCAGTTGGCGCTGTGTGTAAGGGAGAGGTTGGACTGTTTGGCACTTACGGTTGGTGACGACTTGGTTGAGAGCCTCTTGGGTAAGGACGAATGGGGAAAGCAAATAAAGCAGATGTTGTTGTGGGAGTCTACTATCAACCACTGTCACAGACGTACGCTAAGACTAACCAAAACTAAGGACAAAACCAACTTTATTGCACAAAACAACCAAAACCACACAACAGAAACCAATGAGAAACAGGAGTAAGCAAAAATCAATCAACACTCCGATAACATTTAACATTTAACACATTCAAGGTGTCAGTCAGGCAGGGTATCGTTACTACACATCAATACACACGGCAATGATGATCCAAAGTGCACGCACACACACACACACACACTCACAAAAGGGGGGAAACTCTCTCCGTCCCTCCCGTGGGTACCCAGAGGACACAATCGCTCACCGGGGGTGGGGAGAGGTGGTGGTGAGGGCTCATTCCAGGGTATCCAGAAGAAATCACTCACCAGAAGGAGGTGAGGGCACTCAGTCCCAGGAAGTTTCCTCAGGCAGCATCCCATCCCATCCCATCCCATCCCATCCCAACCCAACCCAACCCAACCCAACCCAACCCAACCCAACCCATTGGCATAAATGAAACCTGGTGAGTCCTGTGACTGGTGTGCCCTGATGGACGGTTATAGGCTTTTCAGGAGGGATGGGCAGGGCAGGCAAGGTGGGAGGGTGGTGCTGTATGTAAGGGAGGGGTTGGATTGTATGGCGCTGGTGGTTGGCGACGACACAGTTGAGAGCCTCTGGGTAAGGATGAATGAAGAAAGCAAATAAAGTGGATGTTGTTGTTAGAGTCTATTATCGACCACCCAGCCAGGATGAAAACACCGATGAATTATTCCATAAGGAATTAAGGGATATCTCTAGATGAGCTGCCCTTGTCCTTATGGGTGATTTTAACTTCCTAGGCATTGACCGGGAATATCATACAGCAGACCCAAACCAGTCCAGGAAATTCCTGAAGCACAGAGAAGATAACTGCTTGGCGCAGGTACTAAGGGAGCCGACTAAGAAAGGTGCCCTCCTAGATGTGTTCTTTGTTAACAGAGAGGGTCTCGTGGAAAAAGTGGTGATTGGTGGCTGTCTTGGTCACAGTGACCGCGAAGTAGCTGAGTTTCAAATCATTGGCGATAGGAGGAAAACTGCCAGCAAAACTTCAACCCTGGATATGGGGAGAGCAGACTTGGCTGCTGAAGGAGCTTGTTAGTAAGGGCCCCTGGGAATCTGCTTTTGAAGGTATGGGGGTCCATGAATGCTGGTCACTTCTTCAGAGCCATCTCTTCAGAGCGCAGAGCAGGCACTTCCAAAGTGTCAGAGGTCAAGCAAGCGGTACAGAAGGCCATCTTGGCTGGGTAGAGATCTTCTTCTAGAACTTAGGCGGAAAAGGAAAGTGTATGGACATTGGAAACAAGGAGAGGCGACATAGGAGGACTACAGAGACACTGTTTGCCACTGTAGGGAGAAAATTCGTGTGCCCAAAGCTCAGTTAGAGTTCAAGCTGGCCAGCACTGTG